TTTTATGTTATAAATAAATTTAAAAAAATTAAGTATATTAAAACTAAAAATAAATAAACCAAATAATGAGTGCAAATAAAACAATTCAATGAATAACAAGTTTAAAAAAACAATGCAAATATATAAAAATTAACAAGTGTGAAAAAGCAACGTATAGAAATAGAGATTAATAAATATAAACAGTTTCTTAACAATCACCAATGGTTTGAACAAGACAAAAACTGAGCTGAAATTTTTATTTATATAAGTTCTTCTTGCATATTTGTTACTAATTTAATAGTTTTATTTAAATTAATTATTTGGTTTATTTATTTTTATTTTTGTTATATTATTATACTAATATTTATTATTAATTTACAAAAACTTTTTCTTGGCATACTGCAATGTTTTTGAGGTAAACATATTGTGGAATTTCAAATTAGAGAAATTTTGAAATCAGAAAACATAGAATATAATAAAAATAAGAGTCATGAATTTAAACTACATTTTTTCCAATTCTACTTTAGCTTGCACTGTTTTTATGAAGAAGAGAGCAATAAAATTTCTTGAGTGGGAAGAGTAACGCAATCGACCTTGATGGATGGACACGTGCACAAACAAGAACAAAAAGAAGGTAATTCGATCTGTATAGCTTCTATAAGATATTGTGCTTCAAATTCCCGAATAAACTCGTAGCCAGTGACGGCCTTAATATGGGGAAACCGGGGCTATTGCCCCAGGGCGCTGACGTGGAGGGGACCTATTGGGGGAGCCGGACAATCTTCAGGGGTGCTTGCCAGTTATAAGAAATGAAAAAAAAGGTACAAAACTTATTAAAATTAATTAATTTTTGACTACCAATAAATAAACTGTATTGGAGGAATTTTTAATGCCAAAAAATTAAAATATTATTTGATTCAAGGCTAAAAATGAGTTAAATATAATGCATGTTACAATACATATTAGAATTGAATTGTCATTTGACTTAAAATATCATATAATATGAAACAGCTTAATTAATGAATTTAATTAGTTTAAGGGGGATGACGTCATTGCCCGGGGGCACCGAATGACTAAGACTGGCACTGCTCCTAGCTAACGTGAAAGCTCTCTCGTAATCACAAGAGATAAAGGAAAATGACCGCTTATTTTAAAGCACAATGATCACTTTATATCAGTGTATAAGTTATATCTCACACAAAAGTTAAATATGTAGGTATATGTTAAATAGTATTCTGATGTAAATCTTTTTAAATTATTTACCAAAACTGTTTTTAAATTGTAAACTTGTTTGATTTATCTTCCTTCTAAGAATAGAATCAATTGATTGCTATTTATAGGCTAAGGTATCCTTTTAAACGTATTTTTATAATGGTATTTCTCTTACCAGTTTATTCGCTTAATCTTCATGTCCTTGGTCCCAGTGATGAGAATTAATTGAAAATTTACCGTATTATGTTTGCAAAATGAAATCTTACAACACATAATAAACCAATTTTATATATTCATTTATCGTATTCTCATCTTATAAAAATATCATCTAATGCTCATTATATCGTCTCCCCAAACTTTATAATAGCTGATCAATAATCAATTATTTAATAATCTAAATTATATGTAATATGGTAGAATACATCACATTTCCGGTTTTCAGGGTCAATGGAATTCGATGAATGAAGTATCAAAGGAATGTTAATTTGATTGATAATTGATTAATAGCAATTTCAGAACTTGAAATATTACTACAACTACAACGAAAATTGGGGAGTTTCTAAACTCACATGGTTTTAAAAGTCAAAGGATCCGTATGGATTAAATTGCGATTTGAAGCAGATATAAAAATGGCGTTTTAGAGCCCCAAAATATACCTTTTTCAAAATAAACAGCAATTCTTGCCAAAGGTCTCTTAACTGCTACGATTGCCATTGAATCCTTATCACATGTTTAGGTTTTAAAATTAATATATTGCTATTTATGATAATACAAGGGTCTTTTACAGGGTCAATTTCATGTTTCATCAATATATTGACAGTGTAAGGGATACATAGGTATCAATTATATTGACGTCAATCAAACTGGTTGATATAAATTTTATTTTATTTTTTTTTATTGAAGCTCTTTCAATATCATTGAAACAGTGCCAAAATAATTGCAAGTTTAAAGGCTAATTGAGCAATATTAAACCACACATATCAATCTTTAGAAGCTCTGAGTGTTGCCAAATTTCCAGTTCCCCTCTTGGCAGTATGTTCGAGTAGAGGGGTGATACTTTGTTTTACTTTTTTTGGAGGGGAGAAAGAGTTTAATGCCCATCTCCGATTTTTTTAAAAGATAAAATGGCAACATGTTTGGGTAGGTGGGAGATACTATTTTGGGGGAAATAAAGGAAGAAACCCCCCTTAATTATTTTTAAAATATATAAAATCGGAGTGTTTTATGCCATTTAACTGTTTAAAAGTAACTTTTTTGTTCAAAACTTGATTTTTATACAAAATTTAATAACAGTTTTTTTTCATTACCAAACTTTTTTAAAAATATTAAATAATTAGACAACAAGAACAGAACCAATTTGAAATCAGAAATGTTTTAATGTTTAGGAACAAAATAAACATTACAAAGAAGACATTTTTTTTTTTTTCAATGCTAAAGCCAAGACAAATAAAGTAATAGGAAATTCATTGTTATTCATTTCCACAAAAAAGAAAGATTATCTCTTTGGAAACATTCCTCTTTAGTGTAAGCAAGATGTTAACTGATATAATATTGACTCAATATAATTGATGTGTGTGAGGTAACCCTTCAATATATTCCCTTCAATTATATTAGTCTGTGATACAGACCCCCCCTTTTTTATGAAATTATTGACATCTGGCTGAAACTTCGTAAATAGCTTTATCTCATTGTAACCTACAAATATTTTATTTATGAAAATTCTCGGAATTGAGGCCTTTTCAATCTGGAGGGGGCAAACTTTGTCTATCTTATTAGGTACTAAAAACTCGTTTAAAATACACATTTGCCTTCTACTTGGATCGTAAGATAATTTGATCACAAAATTGAGAAAAAAGGTGACCTTCAAAAATATTGAGTCGTTTGGCGTGACCTACATCTCCAAATTTTCAAAATAATGAGATTATATAGGAGAAACAGCCCAATATTTTTTCTCGATTTTGTGATCAAATTATCTTATGATAAGTTTAAGTTTAGGATTTAAAATTAATATATTGCTATTTATGATAGTCTATTGAAAAGGTAAATAGGTTTATAATCCCCAGGACACTTCGAGTAATATAGAAAACAAAGTTTTGATATTTTTAATAAATAGAAAAAATACTCAAGGAATACCAGGAATGGCTTCTATAATCTATCTAATAAACTTCTATACCTTTGTAAGTGATAAAACATCAAACCTGCGGATGATGAATAAAGATAACGCCAGTGACTTGACAAAGTTTTTGAATGACATAAAAGCAGTTCTATAATAAACATCACCTCTTATTCTCATTTAACTGTTACGAAGCTATTGCCACCTCAGTTTTTAACTATTCGTCTTTCTAGTTTAAGTTCTATATAAGTTACATTCAATGACCACCTATCTAGAAATATTCAATAAACAGCCAGTGTAATTTCATTTTACAATGACAATTAAAATATTTTATTGACAAAATAGGACTTGCTTTTACAAGTCTTAAAGCCAAAAAAAAAAAAAAAACTTTTGTCTTGGAACAGAGCACAAGATAATAACAAATGTAAAATCATGTTAAGGAAAGTATTGTAAAAACTTACAATTGGCAACAAGTTATAAATTTTTCTCTTATCTTAGCTTTCCATAAATTTCACAAATATTTTCTGATAATGTTAGTAAATAAAAACAAAACTATTGTTTCAATATTTACTATTTTTTTACAGCTGATGTATCCCATTGTTATCCATATTATAAGACACTTTCCTTTTCATGCTGTATTTAAATGAAACTCTTAGTGTCATTACTAGTAATATTACTCCGCTGTACCCCTTTTAATCAAATTATAAATATCCACCCAAAACATTGTGAACAGCTTCATCTCATTGTAATCTACTAGATTACTTACGAAAATCCTCAGAAATGGGGCATTTTAATCTGTCAATCGGCAAACTTTGTCTATTTAATTAGGTACTAAAAACTCATGAACGCCAACAATTTTCTTCCCACTTGAATCGTAACACAATTAGAGCACAAAATTGAGAAAAAAAGTGGACTACAAAAATATTAGGCTGTTTGGCATGACCACCACTCCCAAAATAACTAGATTATATAAGCCAAACAGCCCAATATTTTTGTAGGCCACCTTTTCTTTTTTTTTTTTTTGTTTATTGATAAAATTAACAAGTGGAAAGCAAATACGTATTTATGATATTTTAGTACCTCATTAAATTAATTTATTTAATTAGAAAATCCCATTTATGTAGATTTGTAGGTTACGGTCTGCACCACGGACTATATTGATTGTTTAAAATATTGCCAAAATATAAAAAATGAAATTATACAGAACTAAATCAATGGGAGATATTTAAATATTTTCAGAATTTCACAATAGGCAATAGTACCTTCAAAATTGGATGTAGCTTTTCTCTCGAATGAGTCAATCTTATCAGCCAGGATCTTGCGTAGGGTGCAGGTAGCATAGGTGTAAATCAACATGTGTCGTATGATAGCTTTGTACAGTCATTTTGGTATCCCGACTTAGCAGTTTACTACGGAGGAAACTTCTTAGGGCAAAATCTGCTTTGTTAGCCCCTATAATATGATTTTGAAGTTCCTCCTCTGCTAAAATTTAATATAATTATCAATTTAAAAATAAAAGAATATGGTATAAAATGAGTTTTGTCGAATAATGATAATAAACCACTTAAGTCAAAAATTAATTTACATTAATTTTTTTAAGGACTAGTGTTTTATAAATTCTAATGTAGGTGGTTAATTAATGAAGTTTTGCTGATTTTTTTTCAAAAATAATTTATTAACAAAAATAAATAAATATCCAAATATAAACAGTTATGGTAGAACTTATTTACAATTTACTCTTATTACAAAAGACAAACTTTAAAAATGAGCATATTCCTCTTCGATGGCTAGGGTTCCTTTGAACACTTCAACCATTTTCTCTTGAACTGAGTTCAATGTTGATAAAAAAGCATTTTTCCATTGGTCAGATTTTTTATAAGACCTCACAAACCTGCCAATAAAAAAAAAATGGAAAAAATTACTACTTACAGAAATAATAAATACTAAACCATAAGAATGAACAAACTAATCACCTATGAAAATATTTTAATATTACTAATAATTCTTGAAGATATCGTTTCGTTATAAGCTCTTTCAAATAATTTATAATTAGTGTGAGGTCTTTAGCCAATGGTACCTCTTCACTGCTCACCCACTCCTCAAGAAGATTCTTTAATCCTCCAAGAGAAATGTAATTGTTAAATGTATCTGAAAATTTTTAAGAAGTATGTTAAGAAAATAAAATAAACAACATATTAACCGAATTGGTTAATTCAACATATAGTAATAGTAAATAAGTTAAAACTATTAAGAATAAATCAAAAATAATTAATTTTTTGTCAAAAATAAGGTAATATAAATAAAAATATTGCATTAAGGCAGCCAAATAGACACAAAAGAGTATAAAGAAAACATTACTTCTCTTACACAAAGGCATTAAGAAAAACAATTCCTTTCCGAATACCGAAGTGCCCAGAATTATGAATTCTATCATGGGTAGAAAATTTATTAATTCCTTCTTGATAGTTCATTTTTCTTTTTAATGAATGGAATTATAGAACTTACAAGTTCCGAATAATATTGAAAATGGCCTGTAGGAGTGTAAGTCTGCCTATCAATAAAAATGGAATGATGGAGTGTAGTGATTGTCAGTGGAAGCATTGAAGCTGTCTTCACTCAATTACTTTACTTAATCACTCCATTTGGAATGAATGTCAGAGGCTGCCTGAATAATGCTCAATCGTGATAAATCTCATTACGATTACATTTTTAACGATCTTATGCATCCTCTTGGCAATAATTAAAGTATATTAACAAAATATTTTATCAAAGCTAATCATAAAACAATACCTTCGACAACATTGCTGTTTTCTGAAGCACTTTCCTTCGTAGATTCATCTTCTTTAGTTTCTATCCTCTTAATTGGTGATGAACGTTTTTTGAAAAAATCATTTTTCACCTTTTTGGTATTCTTTAGTGACATCATAATTTCCTCTTGGATATCCTTCGGCATGGCCTTCAAAAACGACTGATCCACCTAACATTTACAATTATTGAACATCTAATAAATGTTTAAATGGTAATAGGAAATTTAAATGAAAGAAAATAATAACCAATAAAACACAAAAGAATAATTTAAATCTAAGTTGAACTAGAACTGTATATTAGAACTAAATATACTTGCTTGAGATAGAGATAAATCGATGACAGAATTCCTCTGGAAGGAATTTTTATTAAGAGATGAAGTGCTAATCTCTTTCTTCTTGGAAGGGACTACTTTATCACCTGTTTCCTGTTTATTTGTTTCAAGAAATTTCATCAGTACGCTGTTTTTATTTTCTAAAGCGCCCTCCAGTCGTGTCAGTTGGATACCAATCCCCCTAAGCTCTTTTGCATCTATATTCAATTTACTGATAATTTTTAAAACTTCCCTGTAAACATTTAATTTTTATTCGAAACTAAAAAGTTCTTAAATTATTTTGTTTTTAAGGCATATGAACAACTCAAGGCATGAGCTACATCTATGAAAAAAATATCGGTAAATAATATTTACCTGTTAATGGAGGGAGCGTCAGAGATGGCACTGGAGAGTGAAGATGATTTAGTAACGTTGTCACAAACGCCATGGCCCATATACTTTGCTGTTTCCTCAGGTGCATCCTTAGAGCGCACCTACAAAACAAGAATGAAAAACTTTGATATGGAACAATATGACTAATTTATTTTTTTAAAACAATAATTAACTATAAGATAATATACCATCAATTTAAGAGTAATACATTTCCCTTTCATTTTGATTGCTTGCACTCTTTGCGCAACTTCTTCAGACAGCTGTTTAAGAAATGCATCCCGCTCACTGTCATTTTTAAACCTTATACCGTAATTAACATCAGCAGAAACAGATTTCCGAACTTGATTGAAAATAAGTTCTTTTTCATCAATGCCTCGGCAATTCCTGAAAAATTGATATTTATTTTTAGAGGCTAAAATAAAAAAATGTAATACGTCAATATAAGCAACACAAACCATAAACATAAAATCGAATAATCAGTACATTTCATGAATAAACAAATAACATGAAGAACCTTACTTAAACAATGTCATGCCAAGTTTATTGCCAAATTCGCTCTGTAACTTCTCTAACGACAATTTCTGAAGGTCACCACAAGATCTAATGCCAAAGCTTTTTAATTTGTATGAAGTTGAATAACCAACACCTGTAAAAAGAATAATAGAACAACAATTTTAAAAACTTAGTCGTTCAAAGATAAAAAATATATACGGGGAGTATATAGATGGTTTAGATTAGCTATTAGACCTAGAAAGAACTTTTGTTGTAGAACCATGGTCATAAACTGAGAAATATAAAAATCCAATAAACGCAGAAGAGCTATTCAGTAAATTTTATGACAACCCGTTGTTAACAATAAACTTAATTTCATATTCTAATTTAGGATTACTGAGCATTTCAGGAGCAGGGCTATCACTCAAAACATAAAAGTGCAACTGTACAAGATCCGGGTAAGACCATTTCTCATTCATGCCTCCGAATGCTGAACATTACCCAGTACAAAGAAAGCCTTTCAAGGTTCGAGAGGAGAACATTGAGAAGAATTTATGGTCCAGTTTGCATCAAGGTAATCTGGAGGATAAGAACGAATGCTGACCTAAAAAGACTACCAGAGCTCAGATACTGTAAAGGTAATTAAAGTAGGCTGGCTTTGATGGGCAGGTCATTTAATTAGAATTACCCATGATGAGATTCCTAGGATGGTCCTAGATGTAAGGATTTATGGGACAAGAAGAGTGGAAAGACCTCGGCTCCGATGGATCGATAGAATGGCAGCGGATGCCTTCCATCGATCTTAAATCTTAGGAATCCGCAATTGGAGAGCAGCGGCAACCAACAGAGAAGGCTGGCGGACCAAGTTGCAGGAGGCCTTGACTCTACAGGAGTTGTAGCGCCACGGACGAAATCTTTAGGAAATAGCTTTAAATAAAATTTTAACTTCTATTTTCAATCAATTTCGGTATCATTGGAATCTTTATTTCCACTATTGTCTGTTATTTTAGAAATATAATTAAAGGTTTTACAGAATTTTTATTTTTAAAAAAGTTTTATTTAAAAAATAAAGTTGATTTTGCATAAAAATTGATTTTTAGTTCAGCAACTAAAATAAATTATACGTTAGAACCTTGATTCATTTAAGATAAATTAAAATTCCAATCTAATCTAAATTACTATAAGTTTCTCATTTCACATAACTTTTTTTAAAAACTTAATAAAATAAAAGTTAAACTATTACTATAAGCCTCGAACTTATTACAAAAAAAATTCTTTTATTAAGAACTTTTATTTTTAAAACTTTTTTACCTAAAAAGTTTCACAGAAACTGTTCATAAAAGTTTCATAAAAGCTTCAAAACCTCTGATTTAGGATTTTAAGGAGAAGGAAGATTTCATATATTTGTATCCAAGAGATTACGATTAAGAGATAATCAGAGTAAACTAAAAAATAATGTATAGAACAGCTTTTATTATTTTTGTGTTTCTTTTTTCTTTTTTTGCAATTTCCATCAAAAAGTATATCATAAAATATGGCAATTTTGTTAATTGAAATCCCTGTCTAACTTGGAACTTTTTCAAGAATTTTTCAGAAAATTTCTGATCAGCAACATTCTTATAAATATGTCACAATCAATTAAATTTATAAATATGAAAACAAAATTGAAAAAACAGGACTTAGATAACCTTGCCTCTCTGAAAGGTGCAAGCAACACAAATGTAGCAATTTACGTTTGGCTAAACTCTGTTATATGAAATCTTTAATTTTTTTACAAACCATAATTAATTAGCTAACCCACAATTGAAATTGAAGAAATATAATAAGTTGAGATCTTATGATGACTTATTTAGGTTAATTAGGAAAATTTAGGTGGATCCCCAATTAATTCTTTATTTTTCCCAATCACACGATATCCCCGAGATATTTCTGAACTTACTGACACCCTGTAAAAATAATATAAATAAAAAATAAACTTTTGTTTTACCAGGCAGATCTGAAACTGGAATGTTTTCAAAAAACCTTTCTGGATCATCTTGTAAGTGAAATTGACCATCAGGTTTGGCTTTTTTTGTTGCTATTCGTGCCTGGAGGCGGTTCGCTCCAAGTCCAACCGAGCAAGGGCATTTAGTCTTCCTCTAAAAAATATAATCAGTGTTGAGCAAAACATTATCTGAATGTCAACATATCCTTAATGGGCAAACTTAGAGATATGACAGAGATTCAATATATAAACATAAACTAAAAGATCCTAGTTATAATACTAAAGAGTGAGACTGAAAGTGACAAAATAGGTATTACAAAATAGCTTATAAAAAAGTTATAAAACAACTTGAAATAAATTTAAAGTTGTTATAAAACAACTTGAAATAAATGTAAAGTTGTTATAAAACAACTTGAAATAAATTTAAAGTTTAAATAGACAAGATATTCATTTAGCATATTCTAGACTAAAGTCATGCTGGAGTGACATAATCACCAGCGGTCAGATGTCATCTCTATAGTTTACAACAAATGCAGCTTCAATTGAGCAGAGAGAGGACATCGTTTGTTGTATAAACGTAGAAATTTCTAAGCTATATTTTTAACTGTAAAGACCATTCCTATTAGAATTTTATTGACGGTAGATGACAGAATAATATATATTTATTCATTTATAATTAATATTTTTGGTAAATTTTTTCTTTTTAAAAAATAAATCATAATTTAATGATTTTTTTATTATATATATACAAATTATAAAACTAAACATTTTATTTTATAAACATGGTTAAATGTTTAACATTTTTTAAATCATGTTTACCTTCACTTCATCTCTAAGTATTTGAGCGAACTGTAAAGGACTTATATTGGTAGTTCTCAATAGTTCAGTACAATCTACGTACATCTCATCACAGCTCACAGCTTCTATGTCAAGTGTGTATCTGAAAGTGAGAAAAACTTTTATTACATGTATATATCACCAATGTTGACAAATATATACATAATTTACAGATTATTTTAATAATTTTTAAACATTAAATTATATTTAATTGAATTAATAATAAGTTATAGTTATCAAAATTAAACTTTAACTTATTAAATTTAAAGTTATCACTACAAATTTTAACAGTACCTGGCAACAGTATTATAAAGATCGAATGAAACTTCTTTATAAGAGTCAAAGTCGTAAGGAATTGGCTTTAGAGACGGACATAGTTTAAGTGCTTGGCCGAGGAACATGCCATTCTTTACTCCAGCTGCTCTTGCTTCATAGCTACACGAGGCGACTTCGGCCATCGAGTCCATTTCATTAATTTTATCCTTATCAAAATGGTAACCTCTGTTCTGATAAGCTTCTATTTCCTTTTTCACATTACCATTAGGTTGTGGTCTGTTTCCTTTGGCATGAGTGACAGCTATAGGAACGCCTTTCAGTTCAGGTCTATTTCTTATTCCAACAGAAACAAAAAAACAATCCATATCAATGTGCATTATTACTTTAGAACTAATGGCTTCAAGGGGTTCTTCTAATTCTAGGTTTCCAGTTGAACTAATGTACGTTTTCAATTCATTTATACCGGGATATCGGTGATCTTTATCCAACCGCAAATCATTGACATACTGTTTGAAGATTGACCCCATCGTAGAAATATGATGTAGCCTTGAGTTATTATAAAATTCTGAAAGAAATCGTTCATCGGAAGCAGTTTTTGCTACTTTTGTAGAGTCTACTTTCTGAGGAGAAAAGAGTCCTTTGATTGAAGGCTGAGTTTTTGACTGATTAGTATAGAGAAGATAGTCTCGATAATCTAAAATTTTCTTTTCTCTGATGCAATCAACAATCCATGAAGGCTTAACAAATTTGATTCCTTGAGTTTGTTTAATTTTAGAATCTGGTAGATTTGAAGCAATTACATAAGTAGTTTTTCCAGATCTGTAATAATGATGATAAATACCACCATGTTGTATCATTAAATTACGAATTTCATCGGCTGGTGGATCTGAAAAATAAAATATTACGTTTTATTAATAAAACTTTTAATGAATTGTTGATTATTATTAGTTAGGATAAGAGTTCATAAAGTTTGCTCAAAAGAACAAGTTTTATTTAACTGAATCATCTTGTTCATATTACTTATAGTACCAGTGACATGGTGGCCGAGTGGGCTAATGCGTTACCCGGCAACCTGATAACCGAATAATATTACGAGTTCAAATCCTGGTACCCATTAGGAATTTAAATTGGGTATAATTTCTCCACCTCTCCCCTGGACGGGGAAAAATCCCATATAGCCTAAAAGGCAAAGAAGGGGAGAACAAAAAAAAAAAAAAATCTAATAGTACCATTATGGAATAATAATTAATATAAAAAATTGATTTAAAACAAATATTTTACAAAAATTAATATTCAATATAAATTATACAAATGGTACAATTCTCTTGTAGTTCCTATGGTCAGTCTTGTTAACTTATTATAAATTATAACAGCCGGTAGCACTTCCAGTCCTATGCTTTGTACAAGCATTATTAATTGTTACAGCTTTATTTAGATAACAGGTATCTAGTTACAATCACTGTACTCATATACGAGACAAACTTCAAACTGATCCTTCATTTACGAGACTCATATCTTAAACATTAGCACTTGCTAGAGGAAAGCCCTAACAGGCAAGCATGTCAGGATGAGGAATACAGAGTCCCTGGAATGGATTGGTGTGGGTTCAATTCTCACCTGAGTTATATAAAACTCAACGGTCCCAAGTAATAAATTTTGACATTTCAACTGCAGTTCTTACAGGAAGACAACCTCTAAGTAGCCATTGGGGGTTGGCTAAAAAAAAAGGACCACAAGGCACCATTTGTCAAATAATTTCCACTTTTCACCAATATCAGAAGTGGAAATTGAAAGAAATAGTGGAAATGGAAACGGAAGTCCGTCTAAAAATTTCAAGTAGAAGACAGTGATATGAATAATCCATACTAATGCAAACATATATTCAATTAGAGGACTTTGTTTATCTCTCCCTTAGACTATAAAAAAACCTTGATGGTCTATCAATTTAAATGTACTGTCATATACAGCCTTCATCATTCCTACCAACAGCAGAAAATAATATAATTAACATAAAGTTAAAATACTATCCATTTTGTATTTTAAAATAGATTAGTAATGTCCTTACAAGTTAAAGAGATGTTTAATATAAAGAGTTCGAACCTGAATAGCCATTCACAAACACTGAGATACCCTTGAACAGTTCGTCTTTCTCATCTTGATAAAGTGCAGCATCCTTAACAAATTGTTCTTGAAGTTTCTGTTTTTTCATTTCCATATAACCCCCCTTAAATAAAAAAATTAAATCTTTAAAAATTGTCATTGACAACAGTTTTAATGGGTTAAAAAAAAGAGTAGTTTATTCTTACAGAGAAACAAATTTCTACTGATTACTGAACAAAGAGTAAATTCAGGAATAATAAACTGAATTTATTCCTTATTGGACAAATTGAAATAGAGATGAATTATAAGTGACTGTATGAAGACTCTTTAATGATAAAAATTAAGAAATATTTAATATATTTTTTTTATCCATGGTGACATTTTGACCAAAGTTTCTGATCAATCATCAAGTTCAAAATTAAATGAGAAATACAAGAGGTATAGGTAAGTGTGCTGTACAGAGAGAAAAAATAAATAAAGAAAAATACATATAATAAAATAAATTAAGTGGTAAGGATAAAAATAATAATAGAGATACAATTATTTACAAAATAAATGAAGAGATAGCTTAGACAATATAATTTTGAAAAGCTGAAATATGGTACACACTATTTATATTTATATATATATATATATATATATATATATATATATATATATATATATATATATATATATATATATATATAAGAATACAGAATAAATAGCATACGAATAACTACTTTTAATAATCATTTCTTTATATTTATTTCCTGACTTCCACAAACTTATTAAATCCTATTCTTTTTCACAATCCATTCTCATGTTATACTATTGTTTTAACATATTCCACTCTTTTTTTTTACCATTCACTTATTTTATCATTAGCTGTATTTTTTCAGCTTGTATAAGCTTTAATTTATTATTTATCTTATTCTTTTAAGTGCACATTTAACTATATTTTCTGGATTTAAGATTTAATTGTATCTCTGATGACCACCAACATGGATTTTAATGTCAGTGCCCATAATCAATAAATGACAATACATTCTTGACAATTTATCAAACAAGATGACATATTAATAAACACCATTAATACTAATTATATTTAAAAACAGATGGTTCAATACTTTAAAAACAATAATAATATTTCTTAATTATTTTTGAATAAAAATTGTTAATGGGGTCACATATTTCAAATATGGAACCATAAGTGGAAAAAAACAAAAACTTGAAAAATTGTCAAATATTTTTATTAATATAAAACTATAACGTAATATATTTACATAATTATAACAATAATTCAATTAATGACAAATATTATAAAAACACAGAGCTGACATGTAAATAAATTGTTTATAAAAAATTCAATCTACTAGAATGTCAGAAATGTGTAAAAAGTTCTTCTTAATTAATATTAGAAGAAACAATGTACCCAGTGTTCGAAACCATTGCTATCTTCATGTTTTCTTCTCATGATGAAACAAAACGGTTTTTCAAATAGTGGAGCTCACTTCTGTTTGCATTGTTATCACCTCTTATCAGCAGCAAGAACTGACTTTAACCTTCTTAAAACACGTGGTTCGTGGATAAGATACTGCAAAATTTTCTCCCAAAGCATTTGAATTTATGAGTGAAATTATAACTAGTTGAACAATGTCCAAAATTATTAAAATAAGACATAATTTTTAAAATGGATAGCAAATTATTAAATTAAAAACCTTTCATGTATGTAACCTCTAGATAATTTGTCAATGTATAAATTTATTCTTTCGAAAGCAGTTATAGAATGTTATTTATAGCATGTAAAGTTATAAAAATGAATTAAATTTTTGGTCAACAAAGGTTATACAAATTATGTAGCTATTTTTGAGCTGTGTCAAAGGTAAGTATAATTGCTGATAGTTAACCAGTTCCCGCCTTGTGAGCTATAGTTGAAACACTGCTGTTTTGTTAAATGGCTGCTCTTTTTGATTCCTTGAGCAGCTAAATTCCTTTTATCTTTTATATTTTCAGTTGTAATATCCTTTATTCCATTCTTTATGAATCCCGTCTTACGTTAAGTGGCCTATGATTTTTTTTTTTTTTTTATTTGTACTCGTCTAGACATTAATTATGAGGATGAATCTGAGGGCAACCTTGACAAAACGGTCAGTGTATAAGTGTGTAGTCAAGAATGAATTGTTTACTAGTGATAACGATACTATTTTTAATCATGTTTATTATTAATCATTCTAAGTTAAATTGAAACCCATAGCATTGTTGCATTGTGGTTTATTTCTGTCTGTATTATATCTTTTCTGGACTGCCCTTAAGTGAACTAAAAGTTATTTTTGTGTATTTCAGGTCTAATTATTAACCATTGATATGCCTGCAATGGCAACACCTTTCATCGTCCCTAAAGTAGCTCTGACAAGTAGTTCTATAGTTTCTGAAATCGAACCTCAGTCATCGATTGCTCAGCATGCGTCTACCTCATCTAATGCCTTTGGATGCAATACTTGGTGCAAAATGTGTGACGTTCATCTTCCTACTAAAGCAGTGCCTAGTCCTAAGCGATATTATGGTGCCGATAACTTTTGTTCCACTGAACCGTTGTATAACTTCGATCACTCACAAGTTGAATTTGAAGCTGTGAAAAGGACTGGGTTCAAAAGTGATAAAGTGTCTAGGGAATCAGGAAAGGCTCAGAAATTGTCCAAAGTTTCTGCTTGTTCTGATAACTTTAGAAAGACTAGTAACCCCAAAAGTACCTTACCTGAAAGGGCTCATCATGAAAATTATTTGAAGGAAGTTGAAGCTCTTAGAGGAAAACTTAGAGAACTTAAAGGAACTGCCACTGCACCTGTACAACATCGAAGGCTTCCTGAAATCCCCAGAGAAGTGTCCTCCAATTCACAAAGTAGGCAAGTTCGACAATCTGTTGTAAATAAACTCCATCAAATACTGGATACAAATAAAAGCCTTCCAACTAGTGAAACTAAAAGAAATAGAGAAATAAGTGATTCCGATTGTAGCATTCCATCTGGAACCGTATACACTACTCCTAAGCGACCTAGAGATGTTTCACCAAAGGTAATATTTTTAATTCTTCCATTGGGTTAAATTTATCCAAATTATCTTTGATTTGGCAACTATCATGCTCATTATTTTTTCTATACATTAAATAGTGTAACATAATAATCGTACAACGCCAGTGGATCACAGCTACTTATTGATCGTTTAACAATAATTTGTTAACCAAGGGAAGACTTGTTATATAAAATAAATTGAGATCTTAGAATTAGTAAATTTAACAATTTAAAGTTTCTATTGGGATAACTAAATTTTCTCATGAAAACTACCATACTTTAATGTTTAAGATAATGAAACAAAGTGCTATTTATTATTTAAAATATACTTCCAAGCAAAAATCTAAATTTCTCTTATAAATCCAATATCATGTGCTCTTCAATTTTTTTGAATTATTTATTTTTTTCTTATAATCATGTTGTGTTTTAAATTATAAGTGTTGATTTAAATCCAAACTTACACCTTTTTTATTTATTCAACATTCACCCTTATCATAATTGCTGTCAGCATTGCTCCGTCCAGTAATAATTATGAAATATCTTGTCTGGTTCATTTTCATATTCATTTTCATATTCATAATTTCCACTTTCTGAGCCTGACAGATCCTCAAGTAATTGCATTCATATTCACAAATATCAAAGCGTACATTGTTAAATTAACAATACCAATTCTTGGCAGAAAGGTTGCTAGATTGTCATGCCCAATTGACATCTGTCAATCAAGTATTTTTCCAATTAATCCCGATTAATGTCTGAATTATATTAATGTTATTTTGAACAGGTATATCAGTACATTATTATTGATAATTGTTGTTATTCTGTATATTTATTTTTTCTATGAATGGTTTATTTTTTACATTTATAAAATTTAAAAAAAAACAGATCAACTTTGCAATTTTTACTTTTTGAATTGTTTCATGTTTAGGATATTGTTAACCACTTTCCTGAAAAGTCAAACCCTTCACCCCTTCCACCTAAGAAAGAAGTTTGGAATGAGGTCCTCAATGATGATGTTCATTCTAAAGTAGTAGATTCTTCCTGTGATAGGTAAACATTTTGTCTTAATGCTTCTCTACAAAAATATGGCAGACCAAGAGGGCGAAATCACTGTATTGAAACTAATACCACTTCCTTGTACCTTTAAATGTTATGTTGGGAAATAAAAATAAATTTATAAATTCCCATTTATTTAATAACTATTGTTAATGGCTAAATGAAAACAAATGCCATTCATATCAAGAATTCCTTACCCTCTTACATTCAGTTCTCTTGGCCCTGCTGCCATATCCTTGTAAGCAAGCTATAGTTCAATATTCATTATTTATAAGTTAAATTGTAAATCTTTTTTATAAATAATTATATGTTAAATATTGATAAGCTATAATCTAGTGCACTTCTTAATTATATTTCATGGAATAATCGAGAACATTCCATTGGTGATGTCAATTTAAAGAATATTAGTTATGATTGCCAACACATTCTCTCAATTAATTAGTTTTATAAGAGTATGTATTTCTGACTAACTACACACCAAAATTTGGTATTCAATTATTAAATACAGGTTTGTTATCCAGCTTACAATATTGATGTTTGCTAGAGATATTTATTGATTATTTTTACTACTAATAAAATACTATTGGTATCTCTTCAGGCTTAGTTTATGTCCATATTCAGCATTAGTTTATATTCAAGGATACTTTTGGGTTTGTCTTTAGTAAGAAAAAAGTCAATCGATACGAACAGCCTAAAAGTTCTGTAAATGACCCAAAACTATAATAGTGCTGAAAAAAGCAACTATCTTAATTTACATGTAAAGAAAACTCCTCAACAAGCTCCTTGTCTGCAGAGAGCGTTTAATTAGAATTATGTTATTTATCTACATATTTATTTATGTAAATTTAAATATGTACCCTTTATGTTTTCAAACTATTAATTGTATCATTGAATCGAACATTTTTACTATTTAAGATCTGATTATTCTTTCCCTAACTAGTAATAAACTAATGAGGCCATTTTATGTTTTTTTTTTTTTTTTTAACAAATTGAATAGGGTATTCATCTTCTAGTCTGTTGCGTATTAGCTAAGACTTAACACTTACATTACAATATTTTGAAGAATGGAAAAATGTATAATGGGATAATAATTTATTAACAAGGAAATTTCAGATTCTGATTATTTGAAATATTAGAAATTAGAGGATTAAAATCTGGGTTGCTGTTTTGCCACTAATTTGTTTATTGTGGGATAAATTTAAGTTATTTTCAAGAAAATCTAAATATTTACTTTTTAAAAAATGTTATAATGAGTAATTTCAAATGAATTCATTAATTAGTTTTTATATATGTATATCGATCCTTGTCGTCACATAACATTGCCAACAAACAGAGTGCAAAATCTTTAAATGAATGGGATGGAGTTTCACTGAAAGTGATGACATAGACAAAGATGACTTTCATCACAATCCATCAATTGAAAATGTTTAAACATTAGATTTCAATATGGTAATTATCAACTAATATTTATTTAATCTGTTTGATTTCTTTTTTCACACGTGTATATGTTGTTGTTGTTTTTTTTATTGATGTGCCACTTGTGATTTCAACTGTATTAAACATGCAAATTTATAAACATTTAAAATGAATATAGGTTTTTAAATAGAAAAAAAAATCTTGAAAAAGTGTATATTCAGGTTGAAAGGTGGGTATTTTCATAAAAGCTCGTGGCAACACTGATCAAGTTTCAGTAATGGTTGAATAAAAATTATTTTCTTTGTGAAGTGTGATTCAATTAATAATTCAAAGTTTATTTAAATGTTTAGGTATGCGTTGATTAGATTATGAAGAATTTTGAGTTCTTTCTCATTTTAATATTGAAATTTAAATACAAAAAATTATGGAGCAACATATTATCTCTGTTCAGATTCGTCTATATATGAGGCAATGTAATTTGGTTTAATAACTAGAAATTGAATGTTTAATTAAATAAATATATACCATTTTTTTGTTTACCAAACATCATTAGCACCTCTGTAGTTTAGTTACTATCATCATTACCTATAAACAGTAAGGGTATAGGCTTGGATTTTTTTTTTTTTTTTTTTTTATAGGAATGAGATCTATATTCATTCTTGTGACAATATCTAAGAAACTATTAGAATTATGTTAAAGCTTTTTGGTGTTGACAACCTTAATATATAGTATTCTTCGACTGACTTTTCTATACCTTTATAGAAAAATTAAAACTAATTCAGTATGCCTTATCTGTTTCAAGCAATTTATAGTTAATTAAAAGCCTGTTTTATCACTCTTAAAATATGTCGTGTTGTTTAAGTTTTTGTTTGATCTTTTTGATCTTCTTTCCTAGTGACGATGATGAAGACTGGTACCTGGAAGGAAAAACAACTAATGATCTCGAGAAAAAGCTTTCTTCAGATGGTAATATTGTTTGGAATTTGAAAGTGTTTTAAATAAAATAGTTTGTTCCTAATACAATTATTAACTACTCTACTATTTTCAGGCTGCACTCTGACAACATTACAACAAGCCTTCCTTCACTATCCTGCTCATATAGCTCCTCGTAGTGATTTGGTAAAATATTCAAGTATTAAAGCGGAAGGTATGACGTAATACTTGTTATAATTTAATGCTAAATTTCTGGTTTTAAACAACTATAATATTTTTCTTTCCTAAAGATAAAAAAGTACACCCATGTTTGAGGCCTAGTCTGTTCGCCAATACTCCGCCTTACATACGTTTTGCAACAGAAACAACCAAAGGTTAGATAATTTTATTTTATATATTCTCTTATTATCATATAAATAATATGCCCTGGCAAGCATATGAAATACATTCTGTAATCAAACACATTAGCTCTTGTTTTTAATCATTTAATGTTAATTCTCTCAGTTATTACATAGATTTAATAATATAATATAGTAATAGTAATATTCATGATTTAATTAGGAAGTAATGTTGTTTTATTTTTAGCGGATAAGCCATTTCCAGTAATCATTCAGCGAACATTGAAATGGAAGCTGACTACTGTTACCCCTATAATTGTTAAGAAAATTATTCAAAATTCTGGTTACAAGTTTATAAGAAGTAAGCAAATACATTTTTTTTTTTGTTACATTTTAAGTTATTTTTTGTGAACGTGTTAGTTGACTATCGAAATTAATGATGAGTAGCTCAAATTTAATTAAATGAAATGCAAATCTTATATTTTTCCAGCTTTCAGACCATATAGGTGTATTAACTAGTAGATATAAGTATGTATATATACTAATGGTTCATATATTTTCTCTCTCTTTTATGTTATATTCATTATTGTTCTTATTTTTGTGATTATTTTTGTTCCTTGCAATGATGATTAAGTACAATATGTGCCAAAAATTTGGCAAAATAATAAATAAAATAACGATATAAATTTATTTATAGATTTGTTTCTTTATACTAGATTGACCTCTAACCATAATTCATTTTGGTGATACCTGGCCAGAGTTGAATCAAAATTATAATAATATGTCATTTATTGTATATTTCTCAAAATTTTCATTTTTGGTTTATTTCTATACATTCAATCCATAACTAAAAGAATTATTTCCATTTTTAAAGAAATATTTATTGCAATTTTGTTCTACTTTATTAAGTTAATTAGTTTTAATTAGTCTGCTGAACATGTTTTTTTGTAATGGGCAATTCCTCTTTTAAAACTAGTTATGTTATAAAAAAAGTATTATGTATCGGTGATTAAAAAAAAAAATCTAAAATTAATAGGCTTCTTATTTTTTTAATACCTGCAAACTTTAGAGAAAATGCTCATGCCCATGACATTTAGCTACTTTTCCTCCTGTTATTATAAATTAAATGGATTGTTTTGGAATTCAGGAACCCCAGATTGGGTCGGGATTTGGGGAAAACACATGAAATCAGTCGTTTTTAGAACTCTTAAAGAAAATCAGAAGCTGAATCATTTTCCTGGTACGTTTCAAATTGGACGAAAAGACCGCTTATGGAGAAATTTACAACGCCATATGTCTAAGCATGGAAAAAAAGAGTAAGTTTTCAATCAATATCTACTCAATTTTTCCTATTGTTATTATTAATTAATGTAGACGTGGTATCTTGGCAGTTGATAGCAGTTTGGCATTGGATAAACGCATTGATTTTGGCATTAACATAATCATGGTTTATTTTTGTAGCGTTCGCCCTGATCGACACAAGAATAAAATCAAGGGCACTGTTCTTGAATAATTAAATGTCAATATGAGTGTAAAATCTTTTATGATTTATAGACTAACAAATATAAATTAATATTACATTAAATATTATTTTCTTTTTTTAGTTTAATTATTTAAAATTCTAATATTTGTTATGTGTGTATTATACTTTTTTAAAATTTAATTATTCATTATATAAATCAGCATTAGCAATTTGGGAAGATTTATAGTTTTTAAAAATTGTTATTTTGTATCTACAGATATTATAAGAAATATTTTTTATTTTTAAGGTTTTAACTTCGCCAAAATAATATAAGTTGTTAACAACTTCTTAGATTGTTTTTCCTAAATTTAATTTGAAAGACATATTTCTTGAATTATTATTTACAATATCGATCTGAATATGATTAGCATAATGTGTAAATTTTGAAAGTATAGAACTAATTTTTGTTCAATTATTATAAGTTAAGAATTAATTTTTTTTTTATTGTTCGTTATTTTGAAAGTCATTTAATGATTGTAGTATTCATACAATTAGTGCTAAGTATTCTAAATCTCTTAAATGTATTAATGTTGGGAAACTTATTAAAATTAGTGTGCTAAATATGGCAGCTATCTCATTCGACTTTAACATGGTCTGGATTAAAACTGTTAAAACTTTTCTAATTTTTTAAATGCACGAAGAATGTCACTGTGAGGTTTTCACCTTGTGTTTATTACTTTAGTTTGAAGTGCCATACTTTTTATATAGAATCTAACAAAATAATCCACGAAAAGTTTGATAAAAGAGGGCAAAATTCACAAAAAAATAATTTCTGGAAATTGAATGAACTTGTCGATAAGTTATTTTATTTTAAGAGATCAATCAAAGATTAATAGATTAACTAAGCATAATAACTTAAGAACCTTGTGTACAGAACATGCATAGTCTTAATATTGTTAATGAAACTTAGCTAGGTTAGCTTAGAGAGGTCGTTCATCCAATATTGTTGCTAACTTCTTAGCACAGTAAGCATTTATCACTACTGGTGTGAATACTCTTATTAAAATTTTACTTTTACCTCTTGCTGTTATATTTGATACTGATACTATAATTATATTTGATTATTTAATTTATTATTCATTGTGCAGTTTTAATATTTATTTTTTTTATTTTAGGTTTGGTTTTATGCCACGTACTTATGTTTTACCACAAGATATTAAATCGCTGCGTGCTTCATGGGACAAGCAGGATAATACTCGGTGGATTGTCAAACCGGTAAAGATTATTCGTTTCCTAAGATAACTATTTCTGTTTCTTTAAATTAAATTAATACTTTTTTTATCTTTTAAATTGCTTTTCTTAAGTATTCTTGTCTTTGTAAACCTAGCTTCGTTATTTAAATAAATATTTTTAAATATGATGTAGAGATGGTTGACCGTTGATATGATATGAGAAGGAATTAGTCGAGGGTGCGGTCAAAAAATAAAAAAAATTAAAATATATAAATAATTTTAATTTTTGCCGACGTTTCGACCCACTTTGCAGGTCGTCTTCAGGGCGTTGAATGTGGCACTGCGGGAGGCGGTTGAAACACCCGCTGAGTGTTTCAACCGCCTCCCGCAGTGCCACATCCAACGCCCTGAAGACGACCTGCAAAGTGGGTCGAAACGTCGGCAAAAATTAAAATTATTTATATATTTTAATTTTTATTTTTTGACCGCACCCTCGACTAATTCCTTCTCATTTTTAAATATGGTTTGAAAATATTTCTTTTTCCTCACAAATTTGGTCCACGCATATTATCCATTCCATGCTTTATGTTACATTATATTATTGAAATAAATTGATGAATTAACTTTAATATTAATTAATAATAATTTATGCTACATTTTATTTAGTAATATGTAACTATATGGAGGTTAAATGTTATGTGGTCATGAAAGTTGAGCTATAGGTAGTTCTTGATTGTTATTAAATTTATACTTTATGCTAAATTTATCTTTTGACATAGTTATTAATTAAAGGGGAAATAGTATCAATTAAATATGTTGCTAATACATATTTTAATAAATAAATTCAAAGAAACTGTTATAATGTTATATTTCTATTTTATTTACAGCCAGCTTCTGCCAGAGGGTCTGGGATCAAAGTCGTGAACAAATGGGTTGATATTCCAAAGAAAATACCTTTAATTGTTCAAAAATATATTTCCAATCCTTATTTAATTAATGGTAATAAATTTGATCTTCGGCTGTACGTCCTGGTTACTAGTTTCGATCCCCTTCGAATATACATTTATGATAACGGTTTAGTGAGATTTGCATCAGGTAATATTTAATTCTTTATTCTATATGTTTTATATTTGTTTTAAGCAATGATAGTATAATTTCAACTTTATATTGCCATATTTTATTGTAATATATATTTCAATATTTCCTATTGAACTTCATGTTTTGTTAAACTTAGACACATTAAAATATATTTTCATATTTATTTAATTATACTTTTTATTTTATTCTCACCTGAATATCCTATAAATTATTATTTGGCTTTGATAATGTGGAATATTCCAATATAAGTAAGAAAGAGGTAAAGATTCTTCTGTATAAATAATTGATTTTTTTATATATAAATTTTAATTATCATTTTAGTAGTTAACATGGGTGATAAATATTCAGGACGCAGTATTTTAAAATTTTTTATTTATGCCAACATTTCAACCCAAACATGTGGGTCATCTTTAGGGTATGGTTTGAGTACTGAGGGTTTTCAAGGCATAAATAAAAAATTTAAAAAGAGTGCGCCCTGAATATTTATCACCCATGATATGTAGAACAGTCGACTAAATTCCTTCAAACATTTTAGTTAACATTACTTAAATATTGATTATTTATTATTAATTAATTCTTTATTGTATTTTTCTCTTTAGCACGGTATACTGATGATTTAAAGACGCTTAACGATCGCTACATTCATTTAACAAACTATAGCATCAACAAATTTAGCCAGTCTTATTCATTAAATGAAGATGCTGGTGCCTGTACTGGCCATAAATGGTACGTTAACTTTCATTTATTTGTCGTATTAGTTTAGTTCAAGTTAAGTTTTTTGATCCAACTGAATATATTTGTAGACGATTCATCAATAATCAAATAATTTATTAATAATCTAATTAGAAACTTAAAATTTTAAATAAACAATAATGTTTTCATACAAAAAATTTTGCTGCATATTATGCAATTTTAACTAAGAACTTGACCCAAACTTGAAGGAAAATTGAAGAATATTTCAGAAATGGTCTAGTACGAATTCTATTTAATAATTAAAATTAATATAAATAACTGTTAACAATATGATGGTTGCAAAATGTGGAAGGCATTGATCACATAGAATGGGGTTAGGTTAATACAATATTTTTATGAGATTATGAAATTTTAGGTTTAATAAAAAAATTAATTTATGCTGTATTGTTTGATCGATTCCAACATTATTCAATTATATTTGCTATAGATGAAGTGGTGCTTGTCTGTTAGCCGGACAGGACCGACTGCTATCTGCTAATGTTTATAACCTGAACACTGATAATTCTGATAAGGCTTCTCATAATTCTTATCTTCGTATTCATATTTATTGTATTGTATTCATATTATTGAAATTATATTTATATCTTTATAAATAGATAGATATATAGAGAGAATATATACAACATATATATTAAATAGTTTCAGCTGCTCTTTGCCCCACTTTGTTGTTAAATTATGGGACCACCCATAAATAAATTTTAAAGCTGTTAAAAACGATATCCTCGACCCCTCTAACCACGTTCCTTTCATTATAGAAACTTTTTTGTTACAAGTGGTACAAAAGCATCTCCATTTCGCCCTCCTGTCTAACTTCATTTGATGACCTTCTTCACACAATTTCACGTTTGCCATTATCCCAGCATTTTGAAAATATTCAATAGCCTCTTCTTCTGAAGACGGTAATTCCCAGAATGTGATAACATCCATAGTTTGACGAAAATAACACAAATGGAACAAAAATAAACAATGGAATAACTCAAAGCTTTCAGGAGATAAAAAGGGAGGTTATGTGATGTAACATTAGATAACAAGGGAGGTTTCGTCCAGGCCTCCTATCAGACAAGCACTGGTGAGATGAATAAAATTCTACTTTATTTTATTCTTTAATAAGAATATTCATTAAGTGTTCGTTGAAACATATCTGTGTCAACAATGTCCCATCTTCAAGTAGCTCTCTAAACTATATTTCAGTATGTTTTGTATTACATTTAAATTACTTTACTTGACTCTCAATGCTACTACAGTCTAATGTAGACCATAGCCTATTCAATGAGCCTTTGCTAGGTGTCTCGTTCTTGTGCAACTACTCTTGAATTATGCACGCTTAATGAGTCTGGATATCCTTGTTGACAATATTCTCCCATTTTAGTCTTGGTCTTCCTCTTACTTTTAATCGGTCCAGTATTTTCATGCGGATCAATGAATTCTTCCTTGATGAACAGGATGATCTCGGGGGATAGCAACTTTAAAATATTTAACTTACAAATATCGGGAAAACATCTAAGGCTGCTAAAGATATCTTGAAATATAGAGTAGGTGTACAACATTGGGGGGCCCGGTGTATGCTATATGACCGGGAGTCCTTTTCTTGTAAGATAAAAAAAATTTTGATGAAAGGAATATTTGTGAATGACACCACTTGTGATCCTGTTAATTCTCTTGAATGTTATTTCCAATTAATCTCGCTGAAGGAGCAATTAATTTTATTTGGTTAGTTCAATAGGTAATTATAACATACAATATGAGAAGGGGTCAGTCTCATGCCTGTAATTTGTTGTCTCTCTCCCTATGCTGCCGCTGTCCTTTGGCTTGTCTAAGCTGTCTTGTTGCAACCTATGTCTAGCTTATGTATAGCTGAAGGGCTGTGGTTCCTCGCTCTCTCTCAATTAGCCATAAGCTGCTTGAAGTCGGCAGAGCAAATGAGTAGGAGGACGTGTGCTTAGTCAAGCACCTGGACTTCGCTCGTAGATAAGGCACCACGTACTTGAGATTGGATAGAACAGGATGAGACCGGGGGCCCCTGTGTTATTTATACTAGCAAATCTCAAATACATTGTATATAATCCCAAATAATATATATGTATATAAACTGGATGTAAAAATCTGTAGAAAAATAAACAAGGATTGTCAAAACACTTCAAAGAGGATTAAATGTAATGCAGACCTTTCCCTAAGAAATGTATTATTCTTCCAGTTATATAATCAATTATATTGTCTAAAATAATGACCTAGAACTTCGACCATTAGTTTCTGAAGCTAAATCAAATTTTAATAAGCTGTTCTTTAAATTGTGTTATTCAAATTTCTCAAACTATTAGCTTCTGATACTAAGTCAAATCTCGACTACTCAAGAGCCAGTTTGAAGATGTAATGAGATGTTTTGAGTTGCTCAGATCTTGTTTACTGAGACTAAATCTTGCTTTAAAAATTGTTTGTACTGCAAGCTTCACAATAATTTTGTTCTAGTTTTAGGTTAAGTTTTGATATTAATACTTACAGACTACAGGCAACAGAAACCCATATTGAATACTTTAATTTTCATTTAACCATTTATAAGCAAAAAATGTTATATAAATATATTTTTCTGTAAAAATTCAATTTGGGTTTTTTCTCTTCTGTAACGGAACTTATGGAAATGACTAGTTTGTTTGAAATCATGTTTTTCTCGAATAACTTAATGTCTATAATATATAATTTATTATTTGTCTTTTTTAGGACTTTAAGATCCCTTTGGTCATTTTTGGATGGAACGATAAACATAGATGCCTTATGGTCAAGCCTTATTGATTTAGTGATAAAAACAATGATAAGCGGGGAGAACCCTATCTCTCAAATGTCGAGGGTCAATTTGACTTCTCGTTATTGTTCCTATGAACTTTTTGGTGTCGATGTACTTCTTGATGAGAATTTGAAGCCGTGGTTGTTAGAGGTTAGTTTAACATTTTATTCAACTTTGTTTCATTTTAAATAAAAATTAAGGAACATGGCTTTTTTTTTTTTTCTATCAAAACAGTTCATTCTTGCTTAATTTAATAATCAAATTATTTTAGTTTTGAATATTTTTATTGAGTAAATTCATTATGTATTTAGTGAAAAAGAGTTTTTTATAAAACTGATTAATTAAATTTAATTACTATACAATGTAATTATTAACTCCTTAAATCTTTAATTATTTATATACTAATTTTACTGTCCATATTTCAGGTTAATATATCTCCATCTTTACACTCAGGTTCAACGCTGGATACAGCAGTCAAAGGCCCTTTAGTTACAAATATTTTCAATCTCGTTGGTTACCATATTCCTAATACGCTTAGTCAAGCTCAAGAAGTAAGTTAAAACAATGTTCACATCAATCCTTAAATTGTGTGTTACAATATTTTATTATTAGTATTATGATGAATATTGAATATTTAATAGTTGACCGTTGCATTATAAAGGAAGGAGATGGTCTGGGTGGCGGTCAAAAATAGGCTAAATAGTGGCAAAACAATTTTATTAAAATCCAAGCAGGCTATAATAAAATAGTTTTACCACTATTTAGCCTATTTATGACCGCCACACCCCGGACCATCTCCTTCCTTTATTAGTATTATGGTTTGTGAAGAGTTTGAATTAAAATATAACTATACCACTTTCAAAGACCGTTTATATTAGCAATAGGTGTATACCACAGTTAAAATCTGATTATTTTTCTGAATGTTCATATTCTTCATAATTCCATTGTCCTTATTAATCGAAATGATATTAACTAAATGAGCGTGCAACGAAATCCTTTGTGTTTTTACCTGTCTGATTCTTATTTAAAGCATGTATTTATAAACAAAATATATTATTCACCTTTAAAAAAAAAAGCATACATAGCAAACTCTCCGTTTATTAAATATATATATTATAATTACCTTTTATTTCATTAATTTCTCTTGGTCTTTAGGTGGAAGCTTCAGCTAAAATGGGCATTCGAGGGCCTTTATGCATAGATCATAGAATGTATATGATAGGCCTTTCCCAAAAAGAAAAGGACAAACATGCTCATTTTTCATCTTTGGAAGACCGTGAAATGGTAAGAAAAAAAAGATTATCTTATAGTATGATGGACCCTCATTATAATGTGACATGGTTCACAATCCAATATATGTATTAAAAAAAAAAGGTACTATTTCGCTTGTACTGCCCATGGCTGCGACTGCCATTCCATGCTGCCAACTGTTAATGCTTGTCTATTTTGCTGAAATTGTTCATCGTTGTGACCAAATGCTCCTCTCGATTTAGCATTCAAGTTTGAAATAATTTTAAATAAAAATGCTAGCCTTAAATTTAATTTATTTTATTTGAAATCGAAGAATAGCAATATATATGTTGGCGGGGTTTCGATCTTATTTAATTAACACACACCATTTTTTTCTGGTTGTTAAAATTGAATAACAAGGTTAGATTATGTCTATACTACATAATGTTAATGATTATCTATGTATCAATGCTCACCTTCTGCAAAATAATAGTTCTTTGTTATATTTTGAACATAAAATATAAGCCTCATGATAGAAATAAGATGACAAAATATTATTTTAAAAAGAATTGAGAATGTATTTCTGAATTTAAATGTATTACTTATTATTTTGATTATTAATATTAATTATTATTATATAATAAATTAGTGATCAAAATCAAATATATATATTGATGATTCACAGCAGACAATGTTTTACTGTTTTATCAATAAGTATTCAGTAGATCAGATTTTAATTGAAATTGCTATTAAAAATGCAAATTGACAACTATTAACGAAGTTACAGTTATTCATTTTCCAATCTAAGATTACGAGTTCATATCCTGGTGTCACACTCGATTTTTACATACTACCTTTTGCACTAACCGTAGCAATATACATCTTCAGTATGTAAAGGATTTTTTTTTTTTTTTTTAATCTTGATTCATCATATATACAATTTACTAAAGTGGGACTCTTCCACATTTTAGTATTCGCTGTGGATATCAGTTGATGGATTGATCGTTATCAAACTCCTCGTGAATCTTAATTGATCACTGTATTTCTGAAAACAGCTTCTCCCATATATTTTATTCTCATGTGAAAAGTTATAGATATTGTTTAGCCAATGAAATCGGTGAGGAAGCTATACTGGCCTTACTTAGCAGACTTTTTTTGTCTCTTTAATTAGGTATCTTGATGATATGCATTATCACATGCAATGTATTGGCATTCTGCCTTATAATAAATAATGATGTATTATGTTATTTGCTAAGATCAAATTTGCATTTTTTTAGTACCTAGATAGTATTCTTGAAGATTTAACCCCAGATGATGTGCGCCATCTCGTTCAGTATGAAGATGAGCTGACCCAGACAGGAAAGTAAGATAATTTTCTTCATTAACTGTTGTTTTTTTATTTAGGCTATTCGCTAATGTTAAAATTATTAGCTTTCAGAGGATTTTTCCAACTTCGAAAACATTTCCATACCACAAATTTCTCGAAGGAGAGTGTTATTACAATCGGCTTATGGACGCATGGGAGTACAAGTACAGCAGGAGAAGGGAAGAAGGTATTTAGCATCTCTCATAAATTATAACTATTCTTCCTCTCTTTATTCTCGTCATCCTTAATCTATACTTCATTATTTCTGAAATTGTAAACCTATTACTTCTTCTCCTACAGTATCTTTTAATAATACCATGCCTATCCCTGTTAAACAGATACGATACCTAGGACTGCGCCTGGACTAACATCTAATTTAAAATCAACATACCAGACTGAAACGACAATAAACCACTCAATGTTTCCAACTACTTCAGTATTTACTACACAAACACTCTAAGGTTTAAATTTATTACAAAAGGCCCATATGCATAACTATAATTAGGCCTATTTATACAGAGTTGAACTTTTGGGTTCCACTAAATCATACTTCATGAAATCCTCAATACATCTTACTTGGTCACTAATAAAATCATCCATATTGATCTTAATGTTCCTTATGTTTCCGATTTGGCCCAATCCAGATACCTATCATTTAATAATAATATTAAGAACCATGCGAATCCTTTCATTTCTAATCATACCTTCTGTTTGATCCCTGATAACCCTCTGAGGCGTCTGTCTGAAAAGAACATGACTTTGTGATCTCCTAATTTAGAAATTTTATTAGAATAGTGCCTATGGCTAGTTTCTCTACAAATCTTTTCATGTCATTATATTTGTCAATATCATATTTTTATTTAAATACAGTTTCATGAATGATAAATAAATTATTTCCAGAATAATACGATCGGTTATGTTCTAGGTATAGATGTGTTGAGGTCATTATGCGTACGAGAAGTGCATTTGGATGTTAGGGATGTTGAACCTCGTTCGGCCAATGTAAGTTTTTTTTAATTTATATACTAATACTGATTTTAAGATTTATTATCGTTAGTACGAGTTAGAATTAAATAAGTTTGTATTAATTAAATTGTTTTTTGTTATTTAGTAGATCTGTATATTCCTTTATAATACTCTTAATTTTTCAACTTTATTACTCTTCAATAGGTCTTTTAATAATATTTTATTGTAATGTTCATCATTCCTGTAACGGAACAGTTCATTTTTTCATCGCATGCAAATTCCTTATTATTATTATTATTTTAAGTTCATTCAATATTTGTTTACTGCACTTTTTAATAAGAAAAAATATTGGAAATAATTGTGTTCGCCTATTGTCAGTGATGAAATCCAGTAGTGCTTAGAAACGCCTAATATTAATTTTTCTCTGCATTTTAATATGATGAAATAAAATATGATATAAAATCTGCCAATTGAGTAAGAAATATTTTATTAAAATAAAGTGGTAATGATTTACATGCCTTTAACTAGATTGAAAATTATAAACATTTTTTTTATTGTTTTAAAGAAGATTTTTTTGTGTCAGTACATTTTTACTTCAATCATGTAAAAATAATATATTTTTATATTTTATTTATTTTAGTCACGTCTCGATTTATTAAGTGATGTTTAACAAAGAAACAATATGAGATGGTTTTTTTTTTTTTTTTTTTTTTTTTTTTTTTTTTTTTTTTTTTTTTTTTTTCATTTAGGGATAACTGGAGTTAAAGCACTTCATTAGGTTTAATTTATTTGTGTTAACAATATTATTTATAAAAGTGTAAAGTAGCTATTTTTTCAGGAACTTTTTTTCAAATTTTATTAGGTATATCCTTGGATTCGATTTGATGAAATTGAAAAAAATATATATATATAAGTGTTGATATTAATTTTATGAAATTATTATAATTTATATCTGTTGTTTATGAATGTTTTATTTTATAATTTATAGTTGTTGCCAACTAATTTTATTGTTTTTTGTATAAGTTAATGACGTATGCATTGAAGAAAGTTTACGGACAGTATAAAAAATTAGAATATTGTAAGTTAAAAATTTCTATTTTATATAGTTAGCAACTTTTCCCCTGTGTGATAGTCTCCTGCCATGTTTGGGTAAATATTTTAGGCTAGAATTATGAATATTATTATAGTTAGTTAGCACAGGACTTGTTTATGTTGTTGCTATATTGAAATTAGACTTATAATTATAAAAAATAGAATATAAGTAAAACCTAGAGGGTTAATTAGAAGCAAATAGTGCAAATAATTGTTAATAGCGATTGTCTGTCTACTAAGGGTAGTAAAGTTGTTATAGTTAGTATTTATAATTTATGCCAATGAAGTAACTAAGATTATTTCTTTTAAATATTATCGATTGCTCAATTATGAAGTTTCTTTAAAAATTATAAATATTATTGTTTAATTAGTAATTAAATTTTGCTCAAATTTAGTCCTTCTTGAAATTAGAAAACTAAGCATCGTAAATGGTAATAAAAAAAATGTATATGGATGATATGGTTTAACTAATGCTACAAGACTATGAGAGTTAGTTCTCCTTGATAAGCTGTGGTTTTGTTTATATAGGTTGCTATCCAAGGATGAAAAAATGATTTACTTAATCGTCTTGAACCTATTGTTTTGACTTCCAAGTAGATTCAACTATCAGCTAGTTTTTAAAAAAAATTGAATCATAATTATAACAATAACCGTTTAGTCTTTGTTGCTAACAGATACTTCAAAGTAAATCATCAAAATGCCTTTTCATCTCTCTTTTCCCAGTCCGTTGGTATTCATCATGGTACTATCCTCAGCCCCATCCTATACACAGTTTATACAGCTGATATCTCAACACTGTCATCACCATGTGTGCCGTCCTATCTGTTAATAATGGCCCATCAACGCATCCCAAACTCTTTAATCACAAATCTTGTACATTGGTATAAAAACTGAAGGATTAAAATAAATCCCTACGAATCAACTTTACCCATTTTCATAAAGCTATGATCTGTCATATAGTACCCTTTAATTATATTCCACTTATCCTTGATGAACAGATTCCATACATAGGACTTCACCTGGACAAATGTCCCAGTTGAAATCCTCTTATAAGACTGAAACGACAAGAAACTCCTCGATGTCTTCAGCTACTTAAGAACCTACTAGACTTTCAATTAATTACAAAAGATTCATGTAAGGCCTATTTGAACTTGTTCAAGTTAAGGTTTGGGTATCACAAAAGCCTCAAATTCCTCTTGTATACAATCCTTACAATCCAAAATCCTCAAGGCTCCTAACTTTGTCAAATTTGAACTCATCCATAACCACCTTATGTTTCTGATTTGGCACAATTCAGGTACTTATCCTTCCATGATAAACTGCAGAACCATACAAACCTTCTCGTTTCTAACCTTGCTTCCTCTTTGATCCCCGATAACCCTCCGAGGTGTCTAAAAAAAAGATGCCCTCGAGGCCATTCATATGTCTTTTCATGTCATATTTCTTTGTCCATATTTACTGGTTATATTTTTATTTGAAGTTAGTTGTAAATTTCATGAATAAAAAAACAAATGTTTGTTGTGTCATAGTAGGATCCTCCTGACCTCAAAGTCGAATTAAGACTTTATAAAACCTGAAAAATAATGTTCTGCCTATGCTGTATATATATTAAAAATATTATATTAATATAGAGTGCAACTTAAAATTTTAGCGAATAGAATAAAGTCTTTAAATTAATTTTATTATTATAGAGAGATAGTGATTTATAATATAAATAGTGATCTGATGCTTGATTTATAAATGTGCTTATAAAGAAAACATGGTGTTTATTGGCTTAAATTAAATCAAATGTGGTTTGTTATTATTTTGATTTTTAAATGAAGTTTGATAGGTAAATAATTAATCAATCAAGTAACTTGTCATACCTCAATGGCGATAATTTTGTTGTGAAAATTTAACCATATATGAGCCCAGTTATTCGGTTTTCATATTTTATTCTCTCTTTTACTCAAGTTTACTTGAGCCTCTATTTATTGACATATTATTTATTTTATAATTTTTATTTAATAATTAATGTAATAACTTAGTAAGTATATGATTAGTAATTATTTTTTAGTAAGTATATATGACTAGCAATTATGTTATTGTAAAGTTATTTAGATTTTATAAATGCCAATAGTTTAAGCAAATTTATATTTCAATATTTTTGTAGAAAATCAGAGAGAATCGTTAAAATGTTCTAAATAGTTATTAGGCAATATGGAGTCATTTAAGTTATAAATTAGTAATATGATATATTTAGATTAGTAATTGCTTTTGAATTAGTTAATGTGTTGAGTAATTATATCAAATAATAGGTAATTGTATTAATTCATCTAAAACATGGTTTACACTCATCCTTAGATATACTTAGATTTCTGTTAAACATTGAGTCATTATTTTTTTGACATTCTGCATGAACTTATTTTTCAATAAATTTTGCCTTTTATTGTTTTTATTTTAAAATTAGAAATTGTATATATTCGAAGTAATCATAGTAAAATTTTAATTTGGGATAATGCTGGTGAATAATCACCTTCTAAGTTGTTTCCATGAAGGACTCGGTACAAAGAGAAGAGCAATACTTCAACTTATAGGTGGATTATTGAGGGAGTGGGGTTTTTGGCCTGAAACTCTTTAGTATTAGGAGAGCAGGAGGTTACATGAGTTGAACACATATTGTAGCATAACGAAGACAGCCAAGAGTTAATCTCTACTTTATATTAGGAGTCAGAGGTTACAGAAGCTCGACACATACCGCTACTGTTAGTGCGAAAGGTCTTATGTTACAATTTTATATGTTTATTCAATTTGTGCAAAAGATGACATTTTTTAGTCTGGAACTGCAATAAGTAATCCAGCACTATGAAAACTAGAAGGAAATAAAATATGAAATTATAAAGAAATAATCAGTTGTAAAAAAAACTTAGTTTTTAGATACAACCTTTTGCACTAACAGTAGTGATATGTAATTATAGTTGTATAATTTGGTAAAATGGAAATTTGTCCGCCGTTAATGGGAAAAGGGTATCCACCTAGTAATGTATATAAAAATGTATTCGTTCACTGTTACTGCAACTAATTTTCTTAATCTTAATTTAATCACTTTCATTGGCTCGAAATCATGAAATTATTGTTTGACAGAAAATGAAAGAACGAGAAAAAAAAAAAAAAAAGAAAAGAAGGATTTCTAAGAAAATTTTAAGTAAACATAGGCTAACTCCCCCTCTCCGATGAACTGGAAGATTTTCAATCTGAAGCAGACGCTGCTGCTCCTGCCTTAAAGGGGCAATCTGCCTGCCTTGTAATTACTTAGAGCCTTGAAGTTTATGTTACAAGAAGAAGTGTTCACAACATTCTTGGATCTTATTAATAATAAAATGATTCTAGATAACAAATCTACCCAGAATGTTGACAAGTCTTCTTTGCTTCACTGAAGTAGAGTGGTACTTAAATAATTTTTTAAAATTTTATTTCGATTTGTCTTCAGTAGATTATATTTTATATTGTATGAGATAAAATTAAAGGTTTAAGTTGATAACAATTATTATTACAATTACCTGTAGTTGCTTAGTATATGATATTTTGTATTAGTTCTTGTTTTTGTAAGTTATTTAATATTATTAATGAACATTCTATAAATTATGGAGTATTTTGATTTAGTTAATGGAAACCTCAATCTTTTTTTTTTTTTTTTTATCATTTTTCTAAATCTTTAAAAATCATATCAATTTAAATGGTAACTAAGAATCTGCTTTATTTGTATTTAGGTCTGCTTGACGGAAACCTCTTCGTTTGAATTAGTACCTGTCAAAAAGAGTGATAGTGGGAGTGGTAGCGACACAGCTAAGAAAAGGTGAGAAAGAGAACATTTTTCCATTTATTGTTTAAGTTTCATTTCATCAAATGATTTTCCATAAAATTGCAGGATCTAATATTTTAGTATAGCAAGATAATTTAAACTCCGGTCATTGATTAGTTTCACTTTCTTTTTTATTTCCTTTTTTTTATTATATTATATATTTTTTTACTTATTAACTTTAAGCCAATAATATGTTGATTACAATATATTTCGAAAAACGTATCTATATGCAAGGGTATTTAAAGTCTGTGGTGATCTCTGATGGTTTAAAACATCTACTACTTAACTATAATATCTAGGACTGAGCATTGGTCGATGAACTTGACTATGTAAAATGGCCTCAATGCTATATAGTCAGAACAAACTTTTTATTCTGTATACATCTCCGAACTGATGATTAAGTTACATTTCCTTTAGTTCACTTCAAATTAGCCATACTTTCTTAAGTTCTTTCTAATAGTATATTTTCGCCCCCAACTTCACCTAATTCTTGTAGAGCTAAGTTCTTCAGGAATCTCATTTCCACCTGACGACTTAGCCATTCACCACAGTAAAGCTCATGGAGAATTTAAAAAAAAAAAAAATCTCGTATTATGGATGTCAATGTGATGAAGCAACCGACCAGAAAAATGTCAATCAAGTTAGTATTGTTATAGGTAATGTTTTTCTAATGCTGCCTAAAGGCAATTTCTCCTTTAAAAAAGAAGACTTCAAAAAGAAAAAAAAAATATTAAATTTAAATTAATATCTATTATTTTAATGCTTTACAAAGCCTGTAGTAGATCTGTTGATATGACATTATATAGTTAAAGATAATTATAGATTACTGTCTATATCTTAGCTCTGGGTCTTTAAGATAAATTATAAAAATCTTTTATTTTATTTTTTCCCTGTTGGCATTACAGGCTATTTAGATCTTTTGCCGCCTTAAAAAGCCTGCTCCATCTCTGCCTGTCTTGGGCTATTTCTTTACATTTATCTTCACTCAGCTCTGTTGCATCTTTGTTGATTCTACCTATCCCTTCTGCTTTTTGGCCTTCTATCTGTTCTTTTGCCTTCTATTGAGGCATTCATTGTCATGTAGGGGCTTCCAGATGGATTGCTACGACCTACATGCCTTGATATGATATTGATTGACCAGTTTCTGTAAGAAGTTGTTTATTGGTCTTTCTTCTCCATGTGTCAGTACTCTCACCCCTTATCATGCAGAGTATTTTTCTCTCAAATCTTTCAACACTTTTTTCTAGGGTGCTGGTTAGTGTCCAGGTCTCACAGACCATATATTAGAACAGGCTTTATCATAGCATTGTACACCCTTAATTTGAGATTTTTTGGAATTTCAATGCCTTTGAAAGGGAGGAGAAAAGCTCTGTTTGCACTAGTTATACAGTGGTCTATTTCTGCCCATTGGTCATTTATTGAGATTATTGTGGAGCTGTGGAGGTATTTAATTTTTCTACTCCTGGGAGTGATTTTCCTTCTACACAGCTCCTGTTATTGGCATGGAATTTTCGGCTTATTATCTTATATTTTGTTTTGTCTTTTTTTACTTGTAGGCCGATCTTCTCTACTTCTTTTATCAGAGTCTTAGTGAGTTTCTCAATGTCCTCTTGATTACTTCCAAGGATAGCTATGTCGTCTTCGTATGCAAGAATTTTATGATTCATTTCAACGTGAATCCCTCCATTTTCTTTTGATGTTCTTATTATCTTCTCCAAGGCTAAATTGAACAACATCGGTATAGTCCATCTCCCTGCCGTAAGCCCATTTTAACTTTGAAGGCTTCAGATACTTTTCCTTGTATTAGGACTCTGAATTTATGGTCATTTGTACACTCCTTTGTCAATCTCATTAACTTACTGGGAACTCGCAGTTCAGTCATGATTTTCCACAGACAGCTCCTGTCCACAGAATCATAGGCTGCTTTGAAATCGACAAATAGGGCATGGAAGTTTTGAACTACTTCTAATCATTTTTTGATTGCTTGTTTTAAGATAAAACATAAACATCATTAAAAAACCAAAACTTGAGAATTTTCAAAACAAATTTTGTAGAAATAATAACTTCTTTTAAGGTTTTTTTTTTTTTTTTATTACATTAATTTATCTTCTGTCTGCATAATTTTATCATGACTCCTGACCATTAGCTGATAGTCAATAGTTTTAATTAACAGGTGTCCAATAAAAATGAAAAAAAAAATTACTATTAATTTTCTCTAATGTTCGCTAGGTTCCCGGTTTGTTGAGATTTGTGTCTCTTTGTGCATAACCACACAATATTCTCCGTTTTGCTTAATTTATTCTTCATTCAGGGTCTTAATCTTCGATAAGTCACTGTGGTTTTCCATCCTATTTGAAGTTAAAATCATTGCCTGCAATCAGAATTTGCTTACTCATAGACATCTGCTTTGGAAAAGGCATGATTCTAATCCAGGTTTTGGTTTGAGTCACTCTACAACATTTATGTTTGAACTTAGTATTCTCATGCTTTCTTCAGTTGTTTGCTCAGTCATGTTATATTTTTATTCTTTTATACTTTTAAGGAAAGTGATTTTCTTTATTTGTTCTAGTGACCTCTCAAAAAATATACTCATTAAACATTTATTAATTGTTAAATAATAAGCATGTTGATTATTTCAGTTCTGAACACTTATTTTGCTGTTGGCATTTACAACTAAATTATAGTTATTATATTTTATTTTTCTCTGCAAATTATACTTCATAAAAAATAATATTTCCTACTCAAAAATTGACCAGATTTTTCTCTGCTTATGGAGCAAGAAAATGATTTTACTGTGGGACTAAAGTCCCCTAAGAATGAATAAGTTCCAAGATTATGCACATTAATTTTTCGTAACAACTACAAAGATGTACTTGTTAATTAACCTGTTGATTTTCACAAATTTTCGGCAGTTTTTTAAGTATAAAGTATATGGTGGAATAGGAGTTGTTTAAAGAATTTTATAAACAAGGATTGTTGTATGGAGATAGACAAGGAGTTCCTAAAAGAGACAGCCTGAATGAAGAAGTGTTTGCTGAAGGAAGTTGTTTTATGAGAGGGGAAATAAAGATCAGTAGGTTGAGACCTAGTATTTAGAGAGTGAATTGAGGAACGTAGAATAAGGAGTTGAAAGATATCAGGAGGTTTTTCGGTTCTGAGTAATTGGAATAAAAAATACGAAGGAAGGTCGCTTCTACTCTGTGTGCAAGCTGGAAACAAGAGAACACTTGCTAATATTAAAAATGAATCTTACGAAACATTTCATGTGTCTCTTCATTCTTATCTCTAGCCTAGCAAACAACACTCCATACACCAAGGAACTATAATCGATGGGAAGGGGGAAATAAAGGAGGTTCCAAAGAGCTGTTTGGTCTTTGAGGGTTTGAATCACGGAATCTTAAGAGTTGTTTAAGGACAGTTATGTATTTTCGAGTGATCTGAAAAATATTATTATATCAGAAGAGGTTCTGATCAAAGGTTATTCCTTGGTTTTTAACTGTCAGGAGAAAATGGATGGGGCAGTTATTGAGGTAAGGTAGAAGAGTCTAAGGAAGGAGTCCAATACCGATGAGGAAAAATTAAGCTTCAATTCATTTATTATCAGCCGTTCTGTTGATATAATTGATATCTTAATATAGCTTTCGGATAGTCTCAGGTATATCAGAAGGTTAGAATAATTTTTAGATCTGGAAATCATCAGGATATGGATGGTAATGGGTTTAATGACTGGAATTTGTAAATAGAAAAAAAAAAGGGTCAGAGAGATTGAGGAACACTTCTTATCTATTGAAGGGATGAAGAGATTTATTAAGAACTTTGACTGTTTGGGAGCAATAGGATAAAAATGAAGGGAACCATTTCAGAACCTTTACTTTCAAAGGAGTACTTTCCTACTAATTAGTTTCAAAATAGTTGGTTGATATTTTATTCACATTTTGTATGAACAAACAAGTTTCTTCTCTACCATCTAGGTATATACATTGGTAATTTTTTTTTTTCTGTCATTGATTTGGATAATTTTACTGCTTTTAAAATATAGCTAAGGAGTTATTTCTTAAAATATAACTTAATTATATTCGTATTGTTTTCATTATTTTCAGAAGTTGTTTTTATTTTGTGAGTTTTTGAGAGTTTGATGGAATCTGTGACGCCTCTTATATGACCTCCATATTGTAACAGTCTGTGCCTTCTTTATTTAATTTAAATCAATTGCTTGGTATCATATTAATATATATTTTTTAAGAAATCCATCCTCTGTAGGAATTTAACTATGTTATCCATGTTTATTTTTAATGTAGCAAATTTTTTTAAAATCAAGTATTGTTATGGTACTGTAAGGTTTAACATGGTCGCCTTTATTCTAACCCATGTTATCAATCTAATTGAAATCAATCCAGGAACAGATTATGAAATTAATTTAGATGACTGGTAATCATTTGTTAATTACCTTCAACTATTTTTCTTATTTTTAAATGCTAGTTCAATAGAAGTTGCTATCAATTCCATTTGTACTATATCTTTAAATTAGTCTATTATTTTTAAACTTTGATCTATTAGAATTGCTTGTGTTACTATTGCTATTCTTGGTCTATTTATATTTTAAACTAATTAATATCAAACTTTGCCTTAAGTTTAAACTAATTGGTGTTTTCTTTACAATAATTTTTCATGATCATCATTTACTTATTACTTCTTTTGTCTTTATTCACCTATTATATCAGTTTATTTATTACTTCTTTTATCTTTATTCACTTAACTATTATACTGTTAATACTAGTTTTTATATTATATTATATGCTTTAAACTTTTATTAAAATTAACTTATCTCTTGTGTCTAAATTTTGAAAATTTATGATATAACTTAAACTATCTTTAAATCTAGCAAATTTCTGTTTTTCCCCTTTCTAATTGCACTCCTGTCTATTTCTTAATAAAATACCTTAAATTATATTGTTATATCACAGCCTTACATATAAAATAATTAACTATATCAA